GTGAGGGATAACAGAGCCATGTGAAGCCTGTCTGGGGCACGAAGGGCACCGCGAGTGGAGGGGAGGGACAGCGGAAGCTGACGGCACTTGCCAGGACGCAGTGGCCTCTCCGCGCCACGCTCCTCACTCACTCGACGGACAGGACACGTCCTACACTGCGGACTCAATGAATGAAGGTGGCTCTGAAAGACACAAGTGGCTTTGAGGTGCCTGCCAGACGGCAGACACTGGGGATTGTGCAGTGAACGGGACAGGCGTGGTCCGTGGCCTGCTGCGGCCTACACGCCATGGGCAAAGAGACGACAAACAAACAAAGATACTCCCAGATGAGTGCTCTGCAGGAACGAGCCCTCTGATGTGATGGAGAATGACTGTGGGCAGCCAGGAAGTGGTACCGCCTCTCCGAGGGGATGTTCAGCGTATTGTACGATCACCAGCTCTCTCCAGTTCCAGAACAATTTCAGCCCCCAACAGGAAACTGTCCATTAGGAAGTGACTTCTCATTCTCTCTATGGATTTACCTGTTGTGGAGATTTCATAGAAAGGGTATCACCTTCCGCACCTGCCCCCTCTCATTTAGCAGGTTTAAGTCTGTATCACCACTTCCATCCTTTTCTTGCCTAATACTCCCTCACATGAGCAGACATGGCTGGCCGTGTACGTGTCTTACAGTGAACCACCGTATACGTTTTGAGGCCGTCCATGGCCACTGCTGCCTCTCATGTTTAATTGAAAACTTCCATTATGGGGTACTCGGTGATGATATTTTATTAAAAAAGTTTTTTTTAATGTTTATTTATTTTTGAGACAAAGACAGAGCATGAGCAGGGAAGGGGCAAAGAGAGAGGGAGACACAGAATCTGAAGCAGGCTCCAGGCTCTGAGCTGTCGGCACAGAGCCCGACATGGGACTCGAACTCACGAACTGTGAGATCATGACCTGAGCCGAAGTCGGACGCTTAACCGACTGAGCCACCCAGGTGCCCCGATTATATTTTATTTAAAAAATTTTTATTTATTTAAGTAATCTCTGCACCCAGAATAGGTTTCAAATTCACAACCTCAAGATCAAGAGTCACGTGCTCTTCAACTGAGCAAGCCAGGCTCCCCTGCTTGATAATTTTTAAAAGCCACCACATTATCGAACCCAAATCCTAGAGGAAAACATTCCGTCTTTACACTGTTTACGCTGGCTAGCTTTTATTGATTAAACAGAAAATGGTCTAAGAGGCACATGTGCACAATCAATATCAGTATAAATCTTACCATTTATTTCTTTTTAATCCTTTGGAAAGTCACTGCTCTCCAGTGTGTGGTTCCCGAGGCTGTGGCGTCTGAGTGTGAAGGGGGTAAAAACTCACCCTGTGCCAGGTTCTGCTCCCCCTTCTCACCCCATCTTCAGGCTGCTTTGATCCCTAGTTTGGTAACTGCCTCAGGGTCATGCACCTCTGCGTGTTCTCCCAAGTTCCATTAATAAGTCAACAAAACAAGCTGTTTCCTTAGAATTCTTGAAGGTGGATTTCTGGAAAAGAATATATTATGTTGGTCTGAGAAAAATAAAAGGCATGAGATACTGTGACAGTTTTAGGACTACTAGGGTAACTGTGGGTGGCAGGGTCAGAGCTTCCCCCTCCAGTAACCTTTTTTTTCTATAACTTGCCCATAGTGCTTTATGATGAAGAAACCCTTTTTTGATTAAAGCTGTTATGCCAAGAATCTGCTGAAAGGAGCTTCACACACACAGGCCTCACACACAGAGGCCACTGGCGATGGCAGTGGTCCTCAAACTCTAGTGTGTTCGGACTCACCCGGGGGCCATGTCCAGGCACAGCCCCAGAGATTCTGATGCAGTGGATGGGGGCAGGCCCCAGGAATATGCATTTGTGACAGGTTCCCAGTGCTGCTGCTGCTGCTGCACTCACAGCCCCCTCTCTGGCTGCTCTGTGGCAGCTGCCCTCCAACAGTCTGTTTTCTCAAATAGCCTCCCAGGAACCTTCCCCAGAGAGGGGTCATTGAGACCAGGAGACAGGCTCTGTGTGGGGGACAGCTGGGGCCCAGATGAGCTGTGCTTGACCCCTGTTGTCTCTAGAAGTTCTCATTTTGTTCACTCTTACCCCCAACCCCCTTCATCTCAAGATGTCAGAGAGGTCATGAGGTCCTTCAACTGGCCTTGCATGCATTGTTTTCTGGCTCTGACACCCAAAGGGAGGTCCACCCAGTCCTTGGCCTGGAAATCAAGAGGGAGCTGCCTCTCCTGCTGGCACGATTACAGCCTTGATGGATGGGCTTCCACGGGCCAGGAAGTCTGGCTGTCTCAGATTAGATGCTTTTTTCCTTGCCCTTCAGAGCCCAAATACGCATCCACCAGCCTTTTTCATGGAGTATGTGTCATTTTTCTTATGCAGCTTCTCTCATCGGCTTCCTCAGGTGGCCAGTCAGGCTCCAGCCCAGACTCTCCTCTTCTGTCTTTCTCCAGCATGATCCTCCTTTCCTGATAAATCACGTTCTGGCCAGGTGCTTGCAACACGCTTTCTTCTCATTTGGGCCAAATTCGGGGAGGCCTTTAGTTAGGCTGTCAAAAATTGAGATCAAACCTGCAGACAGACTGACAGATGACACAGAGCTGGCCTCCCTACCTCAGTTTTGTCACTGTCCAAACATCCAAAAAGGGACAGAACAAGAGAAAAGTAGGTGGAATTTAGGGGATATTTACCTGTGACCATAGGGTTTGCAGCTTGAAAATATTACAACTGGAAAATGAAACTAGGCTATTAATTAGTAGAAGACTGAATCCTATGACGCATTCCATTTAGGTATTTTTCTTGATGGTGCTTTAATTGTAACTTTCCTCATTCCTGCGTGTCATTTTCCAGAGTCCAGCATGTTTCTGTTCTCTCAGGTCTTGAGATCACGAATGGAACTAAAAACGAGAATCAAAAATGGGAAGATTCAGAGCAGGCAGAAGTGAAGAAGGCCCTTTGGAGAAAGTCTAGTGGCCTTTTTTGCCACCCTGAGACCAAGAGAGACAAGAAGGGTGAGCCTATGCCGAGAGAGCCACATAGACGTTCTCCAGATGAGCGTGAGGGGACGGCCCTGTCCCAGGACGGGGGGGGGGGGGGGGGGGGGGGGGGCAGCAGACACCCTGTGCTGGAGAGAAGGCCCAAGCAAATCTGAGCAGAGAAACCTGCTCTCAGGGATCTCTCTGTCGCCACCAGCCAGGCCCCGAACTGGAAAAAGCTTCTAAGTGTCAGGAATGTGGGAAAAGCTTCAGCCGAGGTCCTTACCTTGTTCGGCATCGGAGAATCCACACGGGAGAAAAGCCTCATAAGTGCGGCGAATGCGGGAAAGGCTTCAGCGAGCGCTTCGACCTCACTGCCCACCTAAGGACGCACACGGGGGAGAGACCCTACCGCTGTGGGCAGTGTGGGAAAAGCTTCAACCAGAGGTCCGGCCTCAGTGTCCACCAGAGGACCCACAATGGGGAGAAGCCTTACCGGTGCACCGTCTGTGGGAAGACCTTCAACAACAGCTCCCAGCTCAGCGCTCACCGGCGAGCCCACGCCCGGCAGAGCCCCCACCCGTGTGCGCAGCGCGGGAGAAGCTTCGGCAGCAGCTCCCACTCCAGTGGCCACCAGAAAACGCACACCGGGGAGAAGCCTCACAACTGCTCTGTGTGAGAGAAGCTTCGCTAAGCTCCGTGCCCCCATCTGCCATCAGGGGGCACACGACACCTCACATTGCCAGGAAGGGACACATGGTACG